ATTCTCCATGAACAGAAATATTACGCGTGTGAGATATACTATATAACATTGATAGGCCTATATAATTATTGTTGAAAGAAGTTATTGTGCTATTACATCAGATAAAATTCAAAACAAATCGAAAGTCTCTACATGTTTTTCCAATATACAAAGGTGGAACCAAAACAGGATTTGGGATTTCCCGGCGAATATAAGTTCCTCTGTTTTCATAAAAAATCGAACACTTTTTTTTTTTTTTGCGATATTAAAACTGGGCTAACTGATCCGCTAAAGCACCGAGTGGAAACTTGGGGTTCGAACGACAAGAAACCGTACATTGAACTGTACGAAACTAAGGCCAAAAATAAACCTCGGCTCAAAACGCTTTCACGCTGTAAATATGTGACGCAAGCAGCAAGGTATGCAGAGCAGAAATTGGATGTTACCCAGGTCCCCTTGTACGAAGATATACCGCTTCGAAGGGCCAGGCTGCCTGAACCCCAGCGCGATTTATGCACTTCTAACATCGCGCAGAAGCTCTTGTTTCTTTCCGTCCTTATAGTGAATTGTGCAAGACTGCCTCTCGATTACTTACCCAAGTACTTTTTATGGACAAGACGCCTCAGCTGCATGGGTGATTTGTGCCAAACCGAATGTGTGAAAAAAAACTTATAATAATAAACAAAACGCGAGTGTGAAAGAAATTTTCGTTATTTATATACGTAGATGGTGGGCCTGAAGCATCCCACTTCCCCTGTTTCTTTTTTTTTAATTTTCTGCCAAAGTAGTAAACTACAAAAAAAACACGGTAAACAACCCATAATAACTGGCGAGAGCACGGGGCTTTAGAATACTCTACTACCAAAGATACTACCAACTAAAAAAAAAATATATCTATATATAAAAAAAGCGAACTTTGCCGCCGTACGTGTGGCAGTGGTTTCCGGGCTGACGGCTTTTTCTTTTTTTGCTCAATTTCACGCGTGACCTAAGTAGTCTCACGCGATGGTCTACATCCAAGAAAACACAAATATGCCTTAAAAATTGTTCCTTGCTGCGAATTGTTTACAACAATTTTGACGAAAATAGTTACGCTACTTGTGGGTGCACCAAAACATACCCTGTTTCCAAATAAAAATAAAACTAAGTAGAGAAAAAAAAATAACTGGAGGATTAACATCGTAGCACCTTTTCCTCAGTCGGTGCGTCGGCTCACAGCGCGATGGAGGAAGGTCGCTTCGTGCGTAATTTTCGCGTCCTTTTACTTGTTTTTTTCTTATGTTATATATGTGTCGTGAACTGTATTGCGAGTATGCATTTTGAGCGCGATAATTTAATAGTGAGAAAACAGACTCTGCAAAAGCTTTCCGGCAAATGTTGACCGCGCTTGAGTCACGTTTCCAGCTGCGTTTCTGAAATGGGTGACCTACTCGGTGGTGCAAAGTAAACATATAATTAAAACATCGCAAACAAACACTTTGACAAGTAGAAAAAGGGACACATACACAGCGCTGATTCACGACTTCCTCTTTTTCGTCTACTTAAAAGACATCAACATGATGTCCTACACGGGGGACTCTTCTTTTTTTTCCCGTTCTTTGTCTTCTTGTGTTAATGCGTTTTAAGAAGACGAAAACGAGAGTAAGTCGTGAGTCAGCGCTGTGTCTGTGTCCCTTCTTCCACTTGTTCTTGTGTTCGCTTGGTCTGTTTTTAATATACGTTTCTGGGACCTAATGTTTACGATAAGCTCTGATTTGTCTTACCCGTATTGAAACACTATACTTATGGCATGCTACAAATAAGGATAATATGTTTTTCTTTCATTTTTTTTTTGAACTTCATGCAGTAGTTTTGCGTTAAGTAATGGTTTACACGCGCATGGGATTGAATGTAACGTATCCGTTGGATAATCTTGCTATCGTTGTAAGCTGGCATGTTGAACTTTGCTTGGTGATAGCGAGCTTGCACAGCAATATTTTAGCACTTGTGCTTTCTTGATTTTTCCCACACGACATATTTCTATGCACGAAAGACCACACATTTTGAATTAATTCCTTAGAGGCCATTTTGCATAGGCATTGCATGAGGAAAATGACTTTTGTCGTATGCTAACATTTTTGTTCAAGCGGACCTCCTGAATACAACCGGGAAAGGGTTCCGGCTTTTTAGCGGTCGCCAGAGTCACATGATCACTGCAGAATACTCCCAAACACAGCAAAACGAGTCGCAATCTGGAAAAGTTGAAGGCACATTTGAGTGTATTGGCAGTCTTCCTTCCGTGTATCAACGACAAGGTAGAATGTTTTTATACAATGTCCAGAAGAGAATTATTTACATGTTTCAGATTTCAGAACTGCATTATCCTATACACTAAACGCAATCCGACGATTGTTCGCGAAATAAGCGATATTCTTGTCCGTTGTCTCAGTCAATCAAAATAAATGTGACTTTTGTGGGTCGATGCAGCGCGCAGCTGAGGGCAAAGCATGGAAATGTTACTAAAGAAAACATCAAGCCTGAGTGACTAATGAGTAAGGGCGTTAATATTAATTTGTGTCGAGTAAATATCACACTATAGCTATATCAAAGGAAAAGACCGCTAACTTTCATAAGAAAGAAGGGAGTTACTTACGAGGTACCTTTCTTCAACAAGATAGATTGCTGCCTGGTTGGTTGAACGATATAATAAAAAACAGCGCAAAAAGGACGGTACACCAAGTAGCTGACTAACAACCAAAGGTTTACAGAACTTTCACGCACGTACAGTGGCACGCGCAAGCACTAGCTCTTCTTTCTCTTTCTACAGAGATAAATGCTAGTAAAGAAAAGCTTAAGAAAAAAGAATGTGAAAAGAAAAAGAAAGTTCTACAGCCGCACTAGCAGAACGTTGCAAAACGAGTCACCAAAATAAATCATAAAAAAAAATGAAAGCCGTTAACAACTCGCTGTAACGCCGAATTAGAGCGCAGCTCTTGAGCAAGAGGAAGGAAGGGCACTGAGGGGAAGGTAGACCCCTCGTCTCTCTTCCTGACCTCCTCGTCCTGTCTACTACTCCTCCCTTGGAGTGTCGTCACCGTAGCCTCACGGGGGTCATGTGACCTCGCGGGTGTCACGTGACCCCCGTGGTGTCACGTAACCCCTGTGAGGTCACGTGACGATGACGATGAGGTCATCATGATGACGTCATCGTCAACGTGATGGCGTCATCAGTGGCTTAACGTGCGACGTCATCAGTGACATCACGTGACGTCATCAGTGATATCACGTGATTAAAGGGATCTCGTAGACGAATTCCTTGACACAAGGCACAAACTGCTTGGCATGCCTCGTGTCACAAGGGCCGTCCGTTCCTAGGTTTGATCTCGTTTGACATCGCGCACAACTTGGACAGTTTGCAGGGGGCCATGAAAACAGAGTCGACGTTGAATTTTGCTCGTACTCATTTCAGATTCTGTGAGATCTTGTGTACATAGGGCAGCACTTCAAATTTGCTTGGACTTTTTCCTAGTTGCCGTGTCAGGATTTTTCATCTTCGTGAGCATAGATTCAGCCGCTCCTCTCGCCAGAAAAGGAGGGAAACCCAAAAGTTTCAGGCGGTGTAGGTGACGGTCGAAGCTCTCATGTACGGCGTGGACACAGGACGTTGATAAAGCCGAGCAGAGGCATAGGATGGCGATACGCCGTTTTACTACTTGTATATACAACAGATGTCGTCAGAATCATTGACGAACAAACATAAGTCCAAGAACTACAATGCGCAGCCCGCCGGCAACTCGAGCGTGAAACGTAAGTGGCTTGAGCATTGTTCAAAAACTTGGTGTGCACGCGGTGAGCACGTGTCAAAAATGGCAGAGCACAACCGTGTCGACCACACTCACATCCCAACTACAGACAACTGCACAGGACCTTGTATAGTGATATGTCTGGGGGAGAGCCTCCTTTTTTTTAACAACACAAGCACGAAGGAAAAGGAACGGTCACAGCTCGTTCGTTTCGGACCCAACCAGAACAGCTATTTTTGGCCGAACCTGTGAATGTTTCTTTACGGATTATCTCTGGGGGCGGGGAGGACGGTTGTCACTCTAGGTAAAATGGCATCGAGGGCCGTTGGACATTCTTATCTTTGTTACTTTTGAATGTCGAGTAGGGACGCTTGAGGCGGCATGCACGTACCAGCCTTACTTGTAACACTGTAAGATAGCATAAAAAGGGTACACAGCATACACGAGGAAAATAGAGTGGACATTTTCAAGAGAAGTCGAAAAACTTGGAATTCAAAACCGCAAAACATAGACGTAAATCGCCCTGAGCAGGTTTCGATGGTCTAAAAGAGTGGCATATGTTTTCTAGTTCGTATTTGGGGGGGGGGGGGGGGGGGGGGGGAAGAGTCTAGTCGCACCAGCTGTATCATCATCAGCAACATGGCGACGCCCTTGGAGCGTTTTTCGGAAAGGTGTAGACGGGATACTCTTGGCTCTCTTCCCTTTCTGCTGGTTTTCTCTAATTCAAAATGGGAAGGTGTGGCGCCGAGAAGCTTCTTTTTGTGAATAGCCAGAACCAACTGAAAGCGTCCGAAACACACCTTCACTTTTGTGCCGGGTTTCAACTGACGTGGACGGAAACTCCGCCCGCTTCCAAAAAGGCGCAGACAAAGAAGCGCTTAAATATATATATATATTGTTTAATGTTTTTTTATTTAGTGTCCTCCCTGCTTTTTTGCGAAGAATCAACTGAATTGCAGTCATCTAAATTTATTTGCCCTGTAATTTTTTTTTTTTTTTTTTTTTTTATGAGTGAACATATTTTTGGTTAAAAAAATATATTGTTGTAGTTTGAGAAGGAGTTACTCGGAGAAGCGTTTAAAGTAAACTACTATTTATCGAAATAGCAGCGAAGTTGATATTAACTAAATTATTAGGAACGGCAGTCACTTTAGTGGAGTAGTCGATGTGCGCACAACGTCGGAGCCTTAAGTCATTCAAGATAAGTCATAAATAACGTGACACCTCCCATCGCTACAGGTGAAGGTTGTGGACGCTGAAGGCAGGATTGTTCCCGTGAACACGAGGGGAGAGCTGTGCACCCGAGGCCCCCATGTATTTAGGGGCTACTTCAACGATGACGCCAAGACAAATGAAGCCATCCGAGACAACTGGTACCACACAGGGTAAGAAAGACAGCAACGTCAGTCGGAGCGGCGACAGCTAGGGTGAAAGCTACCGCAACACTAAACACAGAATACCGATATTTCGCACTGCGCGGCTCCCAGAGACTGCTTGCTGAAGAAGATAGCGCAAACCAACAAATCCAGGCAACTGCTGTCAGCGGAGAACGTATATCCAATCCTGAACAAGATTTACCGGTACGCTGAAGGCTTTGTGAAACTGCGGAGCGTTGCGTTTTATCCACATATTTTTCTTCATTAATATTTTGATGAATTAAAAGCAGAACAAAAGACCCAGTAGTAAATCTTTTGAAAACAAACTTACATAACATGACAAGTTAAACTGCAAGCAAAATTTTACACTTAGTTTCAACTATATACTCATAAGATTACGAACATGTGCCCTACTCGTTGTTTGGGCAGTAAAGGCGAGCAATAATTAATTAACCCCTTACCACATGCATATTTATTTTCGCCTCAACTTTCATGCCGACATCTATAAAGACTACAAGACCCAAACAAACCTTAGTTTTTACAAAGACCTAATGGTTCTCACTCTTTTGTCACAATACTGTCACGTATGACATATGATACGCTATGCAGTTAGAGGTATATTTTATAAAAACGAGAAAAATATTTTTTTAATGGTACTCAACTTAACTATTAGTCCAAAGGTTAAAGCATGCGAATTTTCCTTTAAAAACACAATTCTTTTTGCAACAGAATTAGTTAGTTTTGCACATAAACATTAAGAATATGACGTATTGGTGTGTCTCCATAGTGCTGAGAGTCGCGATGCTGAGCTTTTTTATAAAAATACTTGAAGCAGTAGAGCTCTCTGGTGAAACAGAGCGCAATGTTGCACTTGTGGCACGAGGCATTTGTGAGGCGATCGCAGGAGGGCACCTTGCAGCGCAGTCGTTCTTCTAGCAAGATGGGCATTAGGTGAATATTGTCTCGGCGGATATCAATTACCGGCAGTGATGCTATCGGGGACCTCCTCTTGGTGGCCTGGATGAGCTCGTCCTGCTCACAGCTGGGTCACCCAGCACGCTTCCTCTGATGCGGCTTTCCTGCTTTGTAGAGTGGCTCTGCAACAGACGACTTGAATTCAAGCTGCGATGTCTTTCTGTTTCCCTTTCTTCGCCAGAGAAGCCAGGCATTCAGCAGTGTCAGGTCCATGATATGCAAAATAACAAAAAGCGGGGATACCAATTTTTTAATTGAATTTTGATCTGATGATATCCCAGCATCGGGCTTAGAAGTTCTACTACGCTCATGTCCATGTTGTTAACAAGAACAAGGCTAGGAGAGGTCACCATCCTGTGTGTCTTCTCTATCGCGAAGTAACACTTGACTTCTCCAGCAGGATCATGAACGGCAAACGTGGACAGCAAAGTGAAAGTTTTGTTTTCACGCCATGCCACTGCAGAAAGTTTTCTTCAACCACCTCGCACAATCTTCCATCATAAGCTCCTCTCTGTTTTATTGCACTTTCTTTCGGGAGTGTGCAGCCAGGCGCTCGATTTCGCCGCACAGTGTCGAGACAATGGACTCCCGCTTTGTCCAAAGCTACTTGAAGAGCGACGGGCGTAAGCCAGTTGTCAAAGTACAGCTGGTGGTGAATGTTCCTAGGGATATTATGGGCCAGCTTCGATACCACGCTGCTGCTTGCACCCATGTCAGATTCACTTGGGAGCTGCTTATTGTCCAGAGCACCGCTGAACACTCCAAAATTATGCCCTAGGCCGGATACTCCACTCAGCACAAGTACCCCGTAGCCCCAGCGGTGTGGCTTCTTGGGGTTGTAGAGCATCAACGAGCAACGTGCCTTGAAGGGCACGGCCTGTTCATCAATGCGAATCTTTTCTTCTCTTGGTTCTTGGCTCAACTGCTGACGTAAAATGTCAAGTAGTAGTCGTACCTTGTGCAATTTGTCAAGCCCAGCTTAACCTGGAAGTACAAATTTATCGTTATTGCTGAAGTAGAGAAACAGCTTCAGAGTCTCCCAGTGGTTCAAGCCCATCACCTTTAAACCTTGTCGTGTCTAGTGCTAGAGCACCAGTAGCGGCGGGTGCTTAGGAGCTGAATAATCGACATATAGAGCACCACACCGACGAACCTTTTCAGTTCATCTACTGATGTTAATTGAGGTCTTTGAGGAAGGCATCGAGTCGAGTAGAGCAAGGTCTCCTCACACATCATTGTGAAGACGTCATCAGGACAAAGACATTTCAAAAGCTGAACTGGAGTTTTCAGGTTCATAATATTTGAAGGTTCTTACATCCCCGATGAACTCAATTTCTTTTGTATCCCCTTCAAGACAGAATTTCGTCCACTTCAGGGCGCTTTTCGGGGCGCATTTAATGGCTTTGGCACTTATTACTGCTGGAACAACTTATCCCCGCTTTCTTTCTCACTTTCAGAACACAGATTTTTTGTTATTGCAAAATGAGTCGGGACACAATAGTTTTGTTTGTAATCGCAATCATGTTTTTTTTTTTTTTTTTTGACCTCTCGGAAGCCTTTGATAAGGTGAACCACGCTTTGCTTCTGCACCAATTGTCGCGTAATGGCGTTTCTCCTGTTCTTTTATTATGAATTGAAAGCTACGCGACTGACCGTCGTTGTGTCGTACGGATTTTAAATAACTTCTCTAATCCTTTTTATCCGTCATCGGGAGTACCACAAAGCTCAAATTTGGGTCCACTTTTGTTTTTGATCTTTATCACTGAGGTATCTACTTGCGTATTAAACTCAAACGTGCTGTTATCCGCAGACGATATCAAGCTGTTTTTGAGTATTAGTTTGATCGACGACTATGAGCTTCTTCAGAGTGACGCATTGCGTATTTTAAACTGGTGTCGGGAAAATTGCTGAATCATTATTCCAGAAAAAACTAATGTCATGTATTTTAGTAAAAAACGTGAAATTATACAGTATGCATACTCAATTGATGATAAGTGCAATTTAAGAGTATGATCGCTTCGATATCTCGGAGTGTACTTTGACACTACTCTATCGTTTGGCTGCCCATGTCTCCCATACTGCCTCTTCTGCATTTAGATTACTTAAAATGATTTCTCGATTAACTAGAAAGTTTCCGAACTATGCTTGTTTCCTCCGTTTATTTTGTTCTACTATAAGATCGAGACTAGACTTTGGCTCTGTGGTGTGGAATTCACTGACACCACGTAATGCAGCTAAAAGAGAGTCAGTTTAAACTTCAGAAACGCCTTGTGCGCATAATTCATGACAAATACCTTGGCCGAAGGCATTTTTACAACTGTAAACTCCTGCATCAGAATTAATTGGGAGGCTAGTTGGTTGAACTTCTAAACGGTGGTTTTGAAAGCGCAAAAGACTGAGAAGAGAAGGAGGGGACAGGACAGAGCGCTTACTTACAACTGTCAAATTTAATAGAGCATCTAGAGAACGACAAGGTGGAAGTGAAAAAAAAAGGAAGAAAAGAAAGATGAAATTAAAGTCACTGCTGCTAAAAAGAACATATTTAGTTTTATAAATCGAAATAAAAATTATTTTAACTTCAGCCAAAGGCAAAGTATATGTCACGTAAAAAAAAACTCTATACTACAAAAAGCAAAAGAAAAAGAAAAACATGAAATAGAAGAGAAAAAAAAAATACGCAGAGCAAACGGCTAAAACGTCTTCAGATAAAACACCGCTAGAACTGAAGTTCTCACTGTGTTTCAGGTCTTCAGGGGAAACACCGAAGGAACTGAAGTTCTTTTTGTGTTAGGGTCACTGATGGCGCGCTTATGCACTTGTCGCTAAAGCCCCTCGATGTGTTTACGTGTCTTGCAAGTAGCGTCAAATGCGCGAGCGAACGAGGCCCATGTCTCGAGCGGCCCCTGGAAGCAAATGGCGGTGCAGCACTGAAATGAGCGGCCTTTGGAAGCGAATGGCGCCGGAGCACGCGCTCGCGGCACGTGTCTCGCGCGTTTCCACAACAATGGTTGGCGGTAATTGTAAAAAAGGCCTTTATCAAGGGGCTTTACTTGTCGCCACTGGTGAGGATGACTTGAGCCTCGTACAGTTATCTGGTGTTTTTGTCACGGAACCGCTTTAGAACTTTGGTGTGGTGTATGTCAGAGATTGCAAATGCTCACCAACATTCAACCACACCAAAGTTCTAAAGCGGTTCCGTGACAAAAACACCAGAGAACTGTACGAGGCTCAAGTCATCCTCACCAGTGGCGACAAGTGCATAAGCGCGCCATCAGTGACCCTAACACAAAAAGAACTTCAGTTCCTTCGGTGTTTCCCCTGAAGACCTGAAACACAGAGAGAACTTCAGTTCTAGCGGTGTTTTATCTGAAGACGTTTTAGCCGTTTGCTCAGCGTAGTTTTTTTTCTCTTCTATTTCATTTTTTTTTTCTTTTGCTTTTTGTAGTATAGAGCTTTTTTTTACGTGACAAATACTTTGCCTTTGGCTGAAGTTAAAATAATTTTTATTTCGATTTATAAAACTAAATATGTTCTTTTTAGCAGCAGTGACTTTTATTTCATCTTTCTTTTCTTCCTTTTCTTTTTTTCACTTCCACCTTGTCGTTCTCTAGATGCTTTATTAAATTTGACAGTTGTAATTAAGCGCTCTGTCCTGGGGGATCGGTGGCCGAGTGGGCTAAAGCGCACACCCAGCTCGACGCGCGTGGAGCGAAAGCTCGCGCTGCAAATCCCAGGAATCCTGGGTTCGAGCCCCACCCCTGCCCGTTTCGATCTGGATGAGCATTGTACCGGCGTGCGGTCGTGGATCACTACTGCGTGGTGCGCGTTAAAGACCCCAGGCTAGCGGTTGTACCGCACTGGCTAAATTGCTCATCTACAGTGGGTAACAATGTCGCCATGTTCTGACAGACTAAACTCCTGCTGTATAAACAACTAACGACTAATTTGTTTGTTTGTTTCGCTCTGTCCTGTCCCCTCCTTCTCTTCTCAGTCTTTTGCGCTTTCAAAACCACCGTCTAGATGTAAACTCCTGCTCGGCAAGTTTGGCGTACAGTGTCGATCACTCAGAAGCTTATCGCGCGATGTAGCCTTTTTGTATAAAATAGTTCGCAGGGACACAGACTCAACTCTTTTGTTCACAGTGAATTTAAACGTACCGACTCGCTCAGATAGGAGAGCTCTCCCTTTTAATCCCCACAATCAACACATTATATCACCAACAACAAGAATGCAGACAAGTGTAAACAATCTTCCGCATGAAAACTTTTTTATTTGTGATAGCAACGTAAATCTCCGGAAACAATTATATGAGATTATTCTCCGTTGCCAAGAATGTACTGTCGTGTTTTATTGCATGCTAGTTTTATCAGGTGAGCATGTTTTACAGCTGTGCAATTTTTTTTCACTTTGCCATATTGTAGACCTTTGTGGGTTGCTGATTGACACAAACAAAGGCACTTTGATTATGATCTCTTCCTCGTCACCATCGGGGAACTCGCTATCACTGCACCTGTTGCTGCCCATTTCCTTGATGGTTCTATGTCGTACAGTTTGGTGTCTACTTTAAGTGTACATCACTGTCTGTTACCTTGGGCTCTTTATTTTGGTAGTATTATCTTATGTAGAGTTACACTCATGTTTGAGAGACAATGGAATATTAAAGGTAAACAATTCGCCGAGGCACCTAAAACTGGCGATCCCACATCGCAGAACTTGTATTTGTTTTCTTTACCTGAACGCTATGGTTAGTATTGCCCTTCCACGCGTACTGTTTTTTTTTTTACCTGATGTTTTAGGAAATTTGAAGTCACTGACACCTAAACAAAGGCGGAAATCAGAAATATTAGTTTTCAAGTGCGTGGGTAAGACACATTTATCACAAAATTATATTTCCCTTAAAGAACAAAAGAAAAACAGTTTTAAATAGAGCAAGATTTACGCCGCGGAAGAAATTCGTCCGATTTCCAAACGTGTTTTCCTTCCGCAGCCGACGTCTGGAAATAGAAGAACATTCGAAAACGCTTCTCACTCATAATTCGCCTGGAGGTTAAAATAATGCTCTAAAATATTGTTTTTATGGGGAATTTAGTCACCCAAGCGCCTCAACCCGTTCTTTAAAAAACAAATGTTAGGATTTCAATGTTTGTTTGGACATCGCATTTATGTGTTTTTATTTCTTTATATTGTTAGATTCGAGTGTATAAACGAAATGTTCTCCGTAATGCCTTCTATAGTCACCACGATATGTCAAAATAGAATAAAAAAATTGCTACGTTCAAGAAGTTTTTTTTTTTTTTTTTTTTTTCTTATTGAACACCCGTTCGCAGGGACGAGGGGACGATGAGCGAAGACGGTAGGCTTACATTCGTGGGCCGGATTAAAGAGATGATCAACTTCACGGGTATAAAAGTGCCGCCACTGCAAATCGAGAATGTCCTGAATTCGCACCCCGACGTGGAGGAGGCGCAGGTATGTTTCCAAAGGTGCGGTAGACAGAGCGAGACGTCCATGTGTAGACCCATTACTTGCAGGGTATTGTATTTTGACCGTGCTGCCCCAACTCATTTTGCTTTATTCAAAGTAAGCCACTGGCATTTTCGGGTTATATTAACGTCAGTTTAGTCGCTAAAGTTATAAGGAGAATTTAACGTCACGTAACCCGAGGTTTCTTTCAACGTGTGACTAGAAATCGTGCTTTGCCTATTTCTCTATCTCGAAGGAAGGCATTTAATGCATACGTAACTGGTTCCACTAAGTTCGTCTAAGTATCCCGGTTACCTACTGGCCTTTATGGCGATTATGTTCAGAAATTCGGAAAGGTGGATACGGTGGTGGACGCTTTGCATTATCAAAAAATCAACATACAAAAAACGGACCGCGTTTACATGAAGAAACCAAGGTAGCAAAAATTTTCGATATATCAATATAGCAATCTATGAATGCATGATCATCTTTTTCTCATCATGGCACATTGAAACGGCATTAGGAATTCAGTTTAAGATAATACGTTTTTACTCTATTTTTTATATGTAGGGCGTGCTAGGTTCTTGGACTTTTCGACTATCTCTGAGTGTTTTTTTTATCACAAACCAATTTTGGGTATTTTTGATTTATAGTTTTTTTATAATATTTTAACATTCTTTTAGAATATAATTCGAATTTATAAGCGTGTGCTCAGAAGAATATAGGTACTGAGAAAGAGTAATTCTGCAGACTTTATACGATTAAATGCAAATTATTGAATTGAGTGAACATCCTTAATGGATGGTGCCTAGTGTTTGTCAAATTGTAGTGCTGTATGTCGGACGTAACCTAGGTTGTCTATAAGCCCAACCGCCTTATTTCGTAAAAGAAATAATTCTTCATTGCTCCCGTCATTCTTCCCCAAAGTAAAAAACACTTTTCTACCGGGATTATGCAAAAGCATACATTAAGTTGGAGATGAAGGCAGTCTGGTAACATATATATTGTTTTCTTCAAGAATCCAATTTAGAGCGACATATGTCATCAAATAGTGCCTACACGACTTGTTGAACTTAACATTTTAGCAAGTTTGGCTCCCAGAAATTTGTGCTCCACAGCGCACTCTGATTTTGAACTTTTGAAATATATATGTAGTCAACATTGTATTTTTATCTCAATATCATATATTTCGTTTCCTTTGCGTTCAACTCTACCTGTTTAGAATACAGTCATAATGAAAATTTGTTAGGCCAGTTGTCGCACTTTCTTTACCTTCCTTATGATTGTTACCCTCAAAATAGAGGGTGGCGTCATCAGCATACAAAATAACGAAAATAATCCCTGGAGAAGGGGAACAAGAGGGACAAAGGACAAACACAAATCTCCAAACACAGCTAGGTGACTGGTGAGCGACCGAAAAAATCCGCCTGGTCCGGGTATCGAACCCGGGACCTCTCCATTACAAGTGGAGCGCTCTACCAACTGAGCTAACCAGGGGTTAGACGTCAGTAGAGCAAACGGGTTTTATCAGCTGCCACCAGTCTAACACCAACAAGGGTGAAAGCCCTTGTTGGTCCAGCTCGCTTGCCCCTTGCATTTAATTGCATTAAAATTAATACAAAATAATGTCGAGACTTAGTGGTGCATTAGCTACGTCGTTGATATAAAATAAAAAAAAGGCATTGGTCCTTGAATTCTGCTCGGCAGAATACAACGCTGGATGCTGAAAGTTTTTGACTTGACCTTATTGAGAATAGTAAATTAGGTTCTGGTTAATGAATAATCTTTGTGACGCCTAAGTCTATTCCACGTGTACCATACCCTTGTAGTTCCATAAGAGAAATATCACGCCTGAGTGAGTGAAGTCGGGACTAGGCACTTTGTTGATTATAATATTCTTCATAGGCAACAAGGCCGATTTTGTAAATTTTCATTTTTTAATGTCATATTCACACGTCGTTATAGGGTCCTTGTCCAAAATATTTAAAAACTTGTGGAAAATATTTTATTTTATTTTTCCAATAATTGTAGCACTAATACAGGTATGTAGTTTTTGAGGTTGTTTAGTGTATCACCTTTGTGTATAACACAATAATTCTCTGGCATATGTTGCATATGTCAGAGAATTATTCAAACTGGTATATTTGCGCATTAATTGAAAATAGACAAGGCTTCTGTCGTACTCAAAGGGAATACACTCAACAGCTTCAAACACTACAGGCTTCAATTAGTACTACAATTATGTGAAAAATAAAATAAAATATTTTACGCAAGGTTTTCGAAATATTTTAGACTAGGACAATATAACGTCTTGTGAATATGAAATTCAGATTGAAATTCCCAAAATTATATTTGTTGCACATGAGGAATATTATAATGAACAACCCGCCTAGTCCTGACTTCACTCACAAGATTTAGGGAAAATAAAACTGGGTTTAATGATGCTTAAAGAGAACCAAATAGACCGACATGGCCTCTGCTCCAGCGTCCCGAGCGAGCGTGCGTGCGGGAATCAAAGTCCTGCTCTCGTTGGGGTCGCGACGTGCACGCACGAGCCCCGCAGACTTTGGGTAGATGACGCCATCACATGCGTGAGTAGCCAAACGTGGTCTACACTTAAATGCACAAGAGGAAAAAGTACAAAAGGCAAGATTAACGAAGAGCTTCTTAGTTGACGACAACTTAGCTAAGAAGTTCGTAAGTGAAGGAGTTCGTAAGACGAGAAGTCGATATTCACGAACGCGTTCTTAAGTGAGAGGAGGAAAGCGACGTTCTCGCACGGACAAACTATACTTCGTTTCACCTTATATCGGAGCGCGGACGATGTTTTGAGCCGAAGGGCCAATCAAACAGCGCAAAAAGCGCAACGTCATGGCGTGCTCTCTGCGCTTGATAGGACTAGCCGGCGTAGGAGCACCCACAGAGAAACGGCGAATACCGGCTGGTCCTATCAACTGCAGAGAGCACTCCATGACGTTGTCCCCCTCTGGCTGTTTGATTGGCCCTTCGGCTCTTAATATCGGCCGCGCTCGGACCTAAACTGAAGCGAAGTATAGAGCTCACCGGTGCCGTTGCTATGGCGATGGTGTCTTCGGCAGCAGGAACAACCAATCGGACAGCTCGGCATGGTCCGGAGCCGTTCGGAGCATGTGGATTTTTAATAACAAACACAGGCGGCCTTTCTGAAATCGCTTGTCTGGGGTTCGTGTCCGTGCAGTGATATGTCGACGCTAACTCGATTTAAACACGCCCGAATGCCGAGGCCGGGATGCGTAACCGCCTCCGTTGAGTGCTACAAACTCGATCGTTACGAAGTCAACACAACTGTCATCGTTGGTAAAGGATGGCCTGTGTCAGTCGGTTGAAAAGCGACGTAGATGAAAACAAGTTGCCGCGGCGTTTTTCTGGGCCTCGGAGATGCAGGAGCGAGCCGACGTTAAGAAAGATACGTTTGAACTTCGAGAGTCTCAGCAAGAGCCACGTAATGCCTCTTCACAGTCGAAGCGGACGCGCGCGTTTGATCGAAGTGCTGGATTCGCGCTTTTGGACCGCGAATTGGGAAGCGCTTCGGGACCGATCTTTTACGATTGCAACCCGATGCTGGCGCGACACCCGGCAAAGAAAGGTTGGACCGGCATTGCGACCCACCAACTGTTATAGCGATCGACAGTGAGGTGCATTCGTGTCAGAATACAAATGGTACACTGTAAAAAATTTTCACCCCATTTTACGGGCAAAAGTTGCTGGTTCAATATTGCCAGTATGGTTTGCCGTAATCTAAAAACGGGACTGTCTGTAAAAACAAGGCATATAATTTCGTAAAATAACGAAACGTCCGTAGCTCACTTTACAGACGGTTATCCGTTTTCCATTTTACGGATAAAAGTTGCTGGTTCAATATTGCCGGTATGGTTTGCCGTAATCTAGAAACTGGACCGTCCGTAAAAACAAGGCATATAATTTCGTAGAACGACGGAACGTCTGTAGCCCACATTACGGACAGCTATCCGTAGGAAATGTGAAAGCTATTTGCACTAAATACCGAAGGACTATACCTTTCCGCCTTATAAGGCCAAAGCCTCGTGCCATCCGTACCACCTGCACCTTCGATACATCATGCGACTCACCTGGCAGAGCTCTAGATCTGCCAGGGGTGTCACCTGACGTATCAGAGGTGCAGGACTGGTGCGGATGACTCGTAGCTTTGGCCTTATATAATTCGGAAAGGTATAGTCCTTCGTTATTTAGTGCGGACAGCTTTCACATTTCATATGGATAGCTGTCCATAATGTGGGCTACAGACATTTCGCCAATCTATAAAATTATATGCCTTGTTTTTACGGAGAGTCCAGTTCAAAAAGACGTAAAGGTCAAGTGCTTCATTATTTAGTGCAAAAAGCTTCCATATTCAAGCAAGCCTAAGTCACATGAAGCTTTTGGGGTAGATTGGTATGGAGAGTTCATAGCTCCGTCATTTAATATATGAACTTGAATAATCTTTCATCCTCAGCCAAAAAGTTCATGTTTTGCAAAAGAGAAAGAGCACACAACCTGTACTTCTCAATGCCAGGATTTTGTTTGTGTGAACTCGGCTGTTCCTATAGATGACAGCTCAACAAACAAACCAATTAAGAAGTTTCGCCACAATACCTTTATTGGAAGAAGGCATGCCTTGCTTTAACTTTGGAGAAAATTTACATTATAGTTGTCCTTGTGCTGGCCATTTAGATGCCCCTCCATACTTGTGCTTGAAGTTGTCATTCAATTGAAGACCTCCTCGGTATCTTCATGGTGCATGTAAGAGCAGCTTGAAATAAAGAGCAGAAGAGGATTTGCATTCAAACACAATTGCAACAAATTGTATATGACATGCATGGTTAAAGTAAGTGAGCAACGTGCTTACCAACTAGCCTAGCTCCTACTAAACATGACATATAAAATAAACCCCCCATAAATTGAACCAAAGTAAAAATTGGCATTGATTTGAATACCGAACATATCAAGTG